TTTTTTTTTTTTTTTTGGCTGTGGATGCCCTTCAGGACTGCCTTCTTGGCCTTTAATGCCTTTGCTTTGGCTTCAGTTTTGAGAGGCGCCAGGGCTTCCTTCTTTGCTTTCGGCCTCCATTTTCATAGAAACCTAATATTGGCATTTTAATGCTTTTGGCTTCAGCATACTTGCCAGATAAAAGGAAATTTTACATGAATTCAACTCTTTTCACATCCTGAAAGCAGAGCCTAGTTTTGAACATTATGCTTAAAGGAGACTTTCAAGGTTGTAGGAATAGAAAGATGCCTTCCAAATAATTCATGTGGACAGCATCCTGAGGCCCCATATTATCTTTGACCAGGAAACTAATACTGACTTGAAAGAACCTTATTTTATCGTAGGCATATTTTTTGTAAGCACTCTGTATAACTCCAATCTTAAAGATTTAGGGCAGTTAAATAGCTAAACCATTCCGTGTAGGAGTTTGAATTCAGATCTGTCTTATTCAGAAGCCATAGGTTTTCCTCTGTGTCATGTGGAGGCCAACATAAGAATTATTATTTTGCAAAGCCATTACTTAAAAAAAGCCTTGATTCATTGGGAGGTGTGAGGGCGGTGTAGAACTTTAGGACTGATTTGATCTAACATTCGTTAATGTTCTACTTTCATTAGCAGTTAACTCTGACTCCTTTTAATTTTATATTTTTATGGTGTCCTAGAAAGCCTGAATTTTCAAAGTATAAAATTATTCTTTGTAATTAACAAAATGAAGAGAGATCTTAGAATTACTTACACTGGTAGGAATGGGACTGAATATAGAGTCACCATATATTAGCTTGAGAAATTGAAAAAGATTTCTTTTTGTCCAGGTAAGTGTAGGCATTAGGGTATTGGGATCTGGTTATGTAGATTTCAGTGGTAATCAGAACACTCTTTGGCGTTTTCTTAAGGTAATGTGATTTTCTTTATAGTACAAGAAAGAACACAGAAGGGAAGCTATTTGCTTTCTCTAAATACCAGTTTAATCTAGGTATTGAATTATTTTACTAACAGAAGATGTAGTACTCTTCCTTTGACCTTAACCACAAGAAATAGGCCCCAGATCTCAAATTTTAAAATGCCATCTTACACCTTCATTTTAATCTGCTTGCTTTAGTTAT